GATGACATCAAAACAAATTTATCACAGACTTTAAAGGCCATTCCAAAGGAAGCTACTCAGGACTGCTTCGCGAAATACAAACCGCTGAGAAAAGTGTATGAATAAGGAGAGGAATACTTTGTAGGTGACAAGGGCCAATAGTATCTAAAATTAATAATACAGTTAAAAAAATAATGTTTGTTTATTTTCTGAACAGATCTCTTATGTATTGCTAGAATAGTTAAAAATACTAACTGATGCAACCAAAATAGTTAAAAACAGGTATTCATCAAAATAATTTCGCGGCAAACCTGAAACGGAAAGAAATGACTATTTCGTCTTACCAATTCGAGAATCGAGACCCACGTGTTAATAACAAACAAATAATGGATATTTCGTTGAATATAATATGCTATATGTATTATTATAGTAAATTGGAGTATAAAAAATTGATGTTTCCGAACACCATGCCAATGGATCAGTCACTTACTGTTTACATATACCTACTAAATACCATTTTGTTGTGTTCTACGTGCTTTTTATACTCATTAAATTTCCTCTGTTTCCTTTTACGTTTTAAGTTGCTTCTCAATTGTCGAGCAATTACAAATCAAAAATGATAAAATAATTTGATTATCTAGTACTTACACACCTGTTTTAAAATAATGGAAATCATTCACCACACACACACGTCTATACAATAATAAGGTACCTATTTATTCATATTGCTGAGAAGAATATCAGGAAAGACTTGACTATAATCATTAGTGATACAATCGTTTGATGCATAATCTGAAAACGAATTAGTATGAAAAATTGTAGTACAGTTGCACATCAGGTAAAAATACGACGCAAGGAACAACTTTACCATTTAACACATATTTAATACCATAAATATGTCGTTGTGACCACAACAGTATGCAGATAAGTTGACAAAATCGTCAGAAATCTTTCTCTGGAACAATGTGGCCAAGAGAAAAACTATGGGTATCTACCACATGATTTTTTTGTTGTTTATCAATAAAAAGGAAAAAAATTCACGAGGCATAGAAATTAAGGGATATTAAAAAAATCCCAACATTTTGGGTGATTTTCAAAGAGCTGTAACTTGGAAGGAAATGGTCGTAGAGAGAATAAAAAAAATGAAATTGAAGCTTCAAGTTTCTAGTTTTCGAATCTAGAGTTTAAAATTTTTTAGCGTCAGTAGTTTTTGAGTAATCATAAGAAAATCAACGAAAAAAAAAAACAACATAATTTTTGCTTTTCTTTAAAAAGGCCTATGGCATATTTCACCTTAAAACTCTTTTAGATAATTTAATTCTCTGCTATTTGAGCGGTTCCGGAGCCCTGTACGATGATTTGTCGCTGAGTTATCGTCGATCAAAGCAAAAAAATCATTTTTGATTTTGGTAATCAATTACTCGGGAAATAATGGTCATAAAGAAAATCTATGCGGGGTTTTGAAAACTGCAAAGTATTCTCTACAAGTAGTAATTATTGGTTTTTGATAAAAACATTTTTTCGAAGTTGGTTGGAAAAAAGGTAAAAAATTGAATAATTAGGGATATTTGATAGGCCAGGAAAATAAGCTGGGAAATGACCATTTCGCGACTTTTTGTTTCGGCAAGCTGAATTTATCACTATAGATGCTAAATATTATGTACAATAACATATTAGTTTCCACAATCATAAAAATGGGGGGAAAATTGTTTACAGGGTAGTTAATTGTATAATTTTTACGTAAATTCACATTTCTCGCTTATAACTTTTTCCGTTCATTTCCACGAGAAAACAGTAAAGTACTTCCTTTTTCGTCTTCAAAAGACCTACAAAACGAGCGTCAAAAAATATTGATTAGAGCAAAAGTTATAAACAGAAGAAGTTTATTTATGACTTTTGAATTAATAGTAGTATATTGAGCATTAAGAACGGTAAGGGTAATTTACCGTTCGAAGACAATGTTTGGAGGCTGAGCGAAGCGAAGCCTCCAATTTTGTCTGAGAACAGTATAACTCTTAACGTTCGTGATGCTTATACTATTTTTTGCATCATCGCAATAAATGAAAACGAAATTATATGTACGTATTTAATTTTTTATGTAACGTCAAAAATGACGTTTCTGAATAAATTTGCGAAGCAGGTTTTTTGAAATCTACTGATGTTTATTGTTGTCACGGCTTTCTTAATTGACGAAATTGACAGTTCTAGAACCGGTAGCTATGGTGTTATTTATTAATAATAATTGATAGTTCTCAAATTTTACGACGCGTTGTTGCATTTACGAGAATTTAAGAAAGCAAAGTGTTGGTAAAATGAGCGATTCGTCTTTAGATGAAGAGTTAGAAGAAGCGTGGAGTGTTGGATATTCCACATTAATTCCTGAGAAATCAAGGGAGCACTATGAAAATACATACAAGATTTTCAAGAAATGATGTGAGACAAAAAATCAACATATTACCGAGAAAGTTATGGTGGGGTACTTTGTCCAAAGGAACGAAAAATTAAAAGCTCCAGGAAGCTTATGGGCAGAGTATTCAATGTTAAAAAGTACAATTTTTGTTCATGACTCGCTTGACATTTCCAAATTTTCGACATTAATTGGCTACCTCAAACGGAAAAATGTTGGTTACAGACTAAAAAAAGCCAGTGTGTTTACTAAGAATGTTGCAATTCCTAATTGAGGCACCAGATGACAGATATTTAATTCATAAGGTAAATTTGGATGATTTTACACGAATAGGTGCTAAGTATCGTTTTGCATTTTAGGTAGCATTGATATTAGGAATATCGGGAGCATGTAGAAGGGAAGAGTTATACAATATGACCATTCAGGATATTGACGACCAAGAAACATATATAGTTGTAAAAATTCCGCAAACAAAAACATTCTACGAATATTTACTGTTACAAACAGACAGGATGAAAATATCCATTATTTAGAAATTTACCGCAAGTATATCAACAAACACAAAAATCCTCAACCGTTGCCGAAAGCTACGTCGAAGATTCCCTTCAAAATAAACTACAGTATGCAGATAAAATTCTTCACGATAATGACAACACATCATCCTGCAATACTTCTGAATCCTGTGCTGAACCATTACCTGCTACTATAGCTTCGACTTTACTGGCCTCGATAGCTAATTTTACTTTAAATAAAAATATAACTGAAACCGAAATTGAAAAAACATGTACTGCTCCAATTTCTGTAAGCAATTGTACAAACTGTACATTTAATTTCAACATTAATAAATAGATTTAAAATACATCTTTCTTTTATATCAATTACCCACATTTAAAACTGAATTCTAGAAAACTCATTCAAAATCAATGCGATGTTGAAAATGTCTATTTTGACAGTTATTCACCGTTCTAGAACGGTAAGTGAATTACTTACCATTTTGTTAACCTTAGCAACCAGTGAGCGCATACTACTGTCGTAGAAACAAACATGGTAAGTGAACTAAAAAAGCTTGATCGTGCAAAAACATTCATAAACAGCGTTATTATTACCAGAACTCTTTGACATCGCATCCTCTCATTCCTTATCACTGTCTAAAACTCACACGAAATCTGGAATCGGTAAGTTGAATAGTTTACAAGTTATGGCCTTATAAACAAATTAACTAATTATTAGTCTGGACGATCCCGAGGATCTTCCACAATCGCACTGATATTTTTCATGATAGATTTCATAATAATACATTGGAATCTATCATTTTTTTGAATTTCTGCAATCTGGAAATTTTTTTATTTTTTAGCCTTAGTTGCAAAATGAAATATACGACGCACGAGCGTGATATATACCTATATTATTACATATTCGAAAAGCTTGTGAAAGGAGCTTTTCGAGCAAAAGTCACAAATAAACTTCTTCTGTTTATAACTTTTGATGTAATCAATATTTTTTATGCTCGTTTTGTATGTCTTTTGAAGACGAAAAAAAGTACTTTACTGTTTTCTCGTGGAAATGAACGGAAAAAAGTTATAAGCGAAAAACGTGAATTTACATAAAAATTATAAAATTAACCACCCTCTAAACAATCTTCCCCCCATTTTTATGACTGTGGAAACTAATATGTTATTGTATATAATATTTAGCATCTATAGTGATAAATTCAGCTTACCGAGACAAAAAGTCGCGTCCAACTCTATATTTCCTAGCATATGACATAACTTTGCAAACAATGAATAAAATAAGGATATTGACTGTAACTTTTCAACCTCAAAGTGTCCTAAAGAAACCCTGATAATTTCAAAACGCTGCGATTTTTTTTCCTAGTGCCCGGAATGTTTAAATTTGACGTTTTTGCTGAAAATCAATGTAATTTTTCACTTTTTATTCATTTTTTTAAGTTAAAAATATTTTTTTTGCAATAATCCATATTTTCTTCATCAAAAAAACGTTCATTGTTCTAAAAAAAATGAAAATAATTTTTTTTTTCAAAAATTTTTTCAAAATTATTTTTAACATATCCACAAGCTTCACAATTGTCAAAAAAAATTTGGTTGTTGTTGTTGGCTTGAACGAGAACGAGTCCTGCATGAAAATGAAACGATTCCCCATGCGTGTATGCTTAGCAGGACGTTTGGTTCAAAAAATATCTTATTCATTCATGTGTCTAGGTATAAAGCTCTGTTTATTACTTCATTCACTACGGATTAAAAATTCATTAAAAGCTACGTTAATGACCGAAAAATACGGTAGGTCAAGATGCACTCTCGATAAACCTTTGTGGGTCAGCGGTCAGGAGCGGTCTGATAAGGGGTTTAAATAATGATTTGAAAATATTTTTTTTATCGTAAATATGCATTTAAAACTTTTGTTAATCACGTATTCTTATTCTACTCATTTTCTCCTATCTTCCCCTAAAATTAATGACATTATGACTGAATCAACCTGTACATTGAAAACGGACAAATATTTATGGACACATGTCTCATATTTGTTGGTAAAGAACCTTTATCTAAATTTTTCCCAACATTAATGAATCACATTATACGTTTCTACAAATACAAACCTTTAAATGCTACGAAGATGAGTTACGCCCTCTAGATATCGAATTACTTGATTGTGGCTTAATGACTGTAGAATGGAATAATAAACGAGTCTCTTCAGTCGGAGAATTATCCATAGGAGGCGGTGGAGGGCATATATAAAGGGGCACTTCACTAATGTTATCACTGCACTGCAACTTATTAGAGTCTATTACTGACTCTTTGCAGGTTTGCTTTTCTTTACATATGATGTCGTCTAGTAAAAATAGTTGAGATTTCAATGTTTTACTTCTTTCGAGTTCCTGTTGGTACGCAGGGAATTGTTTTGAAAGCGTTTTCTGACTTAACGTGCGTTGCTTCAAGAGAGGAGACGAAAATCGTTTATTTGGGGAATAATCGCATTCGAAGCCGATCTCGAATCCTGACATATTATCCGAAATAAGCCTTTCGCTTTCTGGATCTGCGTTTTTATTTCCACTACTATCGGATTTTTTCAGAATTGATTTGGAACGTCGATGCAGCTCTAACTGTGGACTCGTGCGGCTGTCTATCGAATCAGCAGACAAGGATGATTTGCTTCCACTATTCTTTCCTGTGAGAGAATAATTAAATAAATAGATAAATAAAACACACATTTGTAACATTTAAACACTAAAATTCTTTTTTGTGTGAAATTTCAAGTTAGGCCACAGCAAATCAACCTCATATTTAGCAAGCTTATTATTTTATTTTTCATGCATTGTGACTCAATGAGAAATACTCTTTCCCTTTTACTTTTTTTAATAAAGTTATTCAATTTTTCAGGGTGTCACCTAACGAATGTTACATACTTCACACGTATAATCTAGAACCCACATGGTGTCGATTTAACCAAACTTGCTTAAACGAAAAATGTCGGAAAAAAGTTGCAGGGTGTTAAGTTTCTTTTTTATTTCTTGTTTTCTTCCAAACTCAGAACCCAGTTAACCGATTTAAGCAAAATTTGCTGTTGGTTAGTTTCTCTTCATGAAGTATGCAGCGATTATGTTCCTATTAGGAAGGATTATTCATTTTACTACAACCCTTTGTGAACATTCTGTAACTTTTTGCACGTTTAAATTTTTATACACAACTATCAGGAATAGGTAGAGAAGTTTATGCTACACAAAAATTGTATACTTACCTATCAAAAGTCCAAATTATGCTCGGTTATGAAGATATTACAGAAAATATTTATTAACACATACCTACCTCACATTTTTTGGAAATAAACATAATAAATAACATAATAAAGTGAAAGGCAGTAATAAAGTCTTCTAATTTATAATAAATATTCTACGTGTCCCCCATTCTCTTCGGCACATTACCTTAAACGTTTTATGAAACTATTAAGTACAGGAAACGAATTAGATGTTCTTCTAACTTATCGTATGGCGTTTTTTAATATATCCCAAAGTTTTTCTCCCGTATTAGGTGTTACAGTAAACAATTCCTTTCAAATTACCTCAAAAGTAAAAGTCTAACGGATTAAAATCCGGACAGCGAAAAGGCCAAGGAAAGTCATAACCTCGACCAATCCAACGGTTTGGAAATGCTTGATTTAAATGATCTCTCACCAAATGGCTGTAATAAGCAAGGGCGCCATTGTGTTTGAACTACATTTGCCGTCTAGTATATTCACAAAGGGTTATAGTAAAATGAACGTATGGTTTAACACCGTTTGGGTTCTAGATTATACCCTTGAAGTATGTAACATTCGCTAGGTGTCACCCTGTATTGCAATCAATATACATGTACCTATAATAATAAAAAATTTAATATTTTACCTGACTTCGCTCCACTTAAATTTTGTATTCCAAAAAGGTGCTGGTTTATGATACGTGTAGCAGATGCTAAGCTTCTACTAGGAATAAAAGATGACTTTTTCTTTTTTTCTAAACTTTCTTGAGAATCGCGTTCAAAAGCATCTCCAAATCTCGTTCTAGGTCGATTTCCCTACATAAAAAAATCAATTTTTTTATGACAGTACTTTTAGCTCGATACTTTTAGCAAATGTCTAATATTAATCCAATAAGATACCAAAAGAAAATCTACTAAATTTTATAGAAGTTTAAACTTATTTGATCTATTTTGAGACAAAATTGCATCTGCATAGTTTAAACATAAGCCTTCAACCTTTAACAATTTTTTAGATACGACCAAATTTCTGAATTTGTAAATTATTGTGTGGAGTGTGGAAGTGATTTATTTCTGGCACCACAGTTTTTGTTTTTTTTATTTATTGGGTATTTCACCCGTCGTCGTGTAAAAAATTAAATCACAGTTGCACAAAAAAAAAATAATTCTGTGCATCGGACTAGACCACTATCCTCATGTTTTCGAGATCGCTGAATCCGAATCCAAGGTCCGTAACCCTGTCAGGTCAGGCTAAAGGTCATTTCAAGGTCAAACCGAGAAAAATCCCCTATGGTGGGGGCAACCATGGTTATTATATGTTTTTGGGGTTGCTGGGTCCGAATCCGAGGTCTGTTTGGCCTTGTTAAGTCAGGTTCAAGGTCATTATAAGGTCATTCCAAGGTCAAACTGAGAAAAATCCACCATAGCGGGGTCAACCAAAGTAATTAAATGTTTTCTCCGGTCGCTGAGTCCAAATTAGGGTTCCTGTTGTCTCTACCGGGTCAAGATCAATGTCATTTTGAGGTTAAACTGAGTAACTTCTAAATAGGGTTTAGTGGGAATACTCCAGGTATTTTTGGTCGGTTTATTAGGATTCCATTTGACCTTGTTGCATCAGGTTGAAAGTTACTTAATTATAATACATATTAATTGGCTTGTCTTACAAAGCACATTTTGCCTCGCTCAACTATAATGGACCGAAAGACTTAATATTCACGAGTCTTCACATTAGCATGATCTTTTTCAATCATATTTGAAAATCCGACACTATAATTTTATACAGCATTATTGGTTACTAACACTTTCATCATTCGTGGTAAGAAAGGTTCTGGATAGTTGCCGTGCTTGAAGTTGAGGAAGAATTTTGGTAGACAGTTGCGTGCGTTATATAGTACATGTCAACAATATAGTAATATTCGTTTCGTATTCTATGGTGAAAGATGAGTATTCACATTCCATTAATGATAATTTTTTTTATAACTTGCACGTAATGAAATTTTTACATGTAGACTACCCGAATATCTCTGCACTAATGGACATGAAATATCTTTACTGATACTGATACTGATATAGTAAATTTTTCTCGATTTGACCTTAAAATGGACTCAACGACCTCGAAAACATGAGGATATAGTGGTCTAGTCCGATGCATAGATTTTTTTTGTGGGGTTGAGTAATTAATGAGACAAAGTCTGGCGCCAAAAGGATTAGGCAAGCGTTAGTTTTTATGAAAATAGTTTTGCCTAACCAAAAATCTCACAAACAGCCGAGCAAGCAGATGGATAATACAAAATATACATCACTACATGAGATCTGTCCAGAAAACTTAATTTTTTAAAACTGTATTATTAATTTTATGCATTATTGGTCTTATATCCATCAAAGTACTCCCCTTTCCTATTCACACAATTTTCCTAGCGGTGTTTCCATTTCGTGAAGGGACAGCTTCATCTGAAATGGCCTTTAAAGTCTGTAACGAATTTGCTTTGATGTCATCAATAGTCTGAAAACGACGTCTTTTCAGCATTGATTTTACTTTCAGAAATTAGAAAAAGCACAAGGGGGCAGGTCTGGCGAGTGAGGAGGGTGACGGAAGACGGGAAGAAAACTGACGAATTGACAAAGCTAACTGTGCGGGCGCATTGTCATGGTGCAAGAACCATGAGTTATTTCGCCACAAATCTAGTCTCTTTTGCGAATGTTTTCACGTAACCGTTGTAAAATATCTTAATAGTACAGACACACGGTTCATTGTTTCACCTTGAGGCAAGAATTCAAAATGCAACATTCCATTAAAGTCGAAAAAAACAGTGAGCATGTTCAAATTTTCTGTCAATACTTCATGGCATGACCCATCTAACATCTGCAATTTCTCCGACAGTCAATCGGCGATTTGCACGCACCAGATCTTTGACTTTCTGAATGTGAGGATCATCTTCAACTGACTGACGACCACCTTTAAATCGTGAAAACCATTCGTAACATCGCGTATGACCAAGAACATAATCTCCGCAAGCTTGCTTCAAAAATTGAAACGTTTGCGTTTTCCCCTGTTTCACGCAAAATTTTACGTTGCATTATTGTGCAGAAAATCGCACATTTTAAAAATCGCCACAAAACTTAAACACTCAAATAACAATATCACAAAAACTAAACTGGATGTCAATAATCCAAAAACATGTGGTTACAGAGGAGCTTATTAGCGTCTAATTAAAAAATTCGGTTATTTTCTGAACAGACCTCGTATATCGCATAGTCATTGACGATTCCAAATGTTAATGTTTCCATTTTCAAAGCTCAGCAATTACGTTTTGTTTTGAAATTATATTTGTCAGGTACTATTTTGTAATGAAAAAAAAGTGTTTTATTATAGGTTAAAAATAAAAGATGGACATTTTTTATCATTAACAAAATATCATGTAAGTAGTCTTTGATATTATTTCGGTTCCAACCCAACCAAAAACGGGTCGAATTTAGAAAGCAAACTATCGTTTTAAAAGGAATTCAATAACTACTAAATACATTATTAAATGAGTTGATCCATTAATATAAATATTTTGGATATTAAAATATTTTCAATCAAAATACTTTAATAGTAAAAACATAAAAAAATACCAATATATCTATACTTTTTTCTAATACCGTTCCCCGAAACTAAAAGCAATACAATGTTGTGGTTTAGCACAAATTGTTTAAGTTTGACATTTATTCAATAGAATAAATCGAGTAATATAAATATTAACAAAATACATAACTTTTTCAAAAGCATCCTGTGATTTATTTCGTATAATTTTTTTAGTTATTTTTTTTTTATTTCTTCCATGTAAAGTTTAATTTCTCAATATACAGTATACAATAAAACATTTAATAACTGTAACCTATTTAAAACAATATAAATGATGTTATCTTTTAGATTTATTGCAACAAACTTATTCTACTTCTAGTTAATTTCTCCTCTGAATCTAACTCCAAGCGTCAACCGATGAATTAGAACAATTTCGGTTCATTATCAACTGTATATTTTATAAAAAATATACAGTCGTTCAAAACATATGTAGGAAATGAAGGGGATAATTCGTTGGCTTATTCTAAGAAAAAGAGTTGATAAAAAAATATATTCTTTTAAAAGTAAGCAAATAAACAGTAAAAATCCCAACAGTTGTTGAAAATGCCATCCTTCTACGATAATACAAGCTTCTAACCTACGCCTGAGTGACCGACGTACCCGTTCGTAAAAGCAAAATGTTGCGGACCGGTGTGAAAACAGCAGCCAAAACCTACCTGAACGACCATAGGCATACGTAAACAAGAGGTGCGAGAGATACGAGCACGGTAGGGATGGGCGGTTATTGAAAAATAACCGGTTATCGGTTAACCGGTTATTTTTCTTAGTCGGTTAATCCTGAATCGGTTAACCTCTACCTAAAAACCGGTTATTGAAATAACCGGCCCTTTTAAATTTTTGTGAGTGCTCTAATTTATCTCTGTATTAAAAAATTGTGTAGTCATGCATCTGATTTAAAAATTTATATTTTTTTACTTTTATTCAAATACTTATGCTTATATTTATTTTATTATATTTATTTTTTAAAACTTTATCAAATGGTTAGGTTTTCATATCGAGGAGAAATAAAACATTCATTTAACAGCTGAAATTTATTGTTATTTTGACACTTCATAATGACCAATATGTTTTGTCCCGTCAAGGAAGCCTAATTAGCGTAGTCCGACCCACAGACCAATCGGTTTTACCCTAAATAGAATGTCAGGCCGACGATGGCTTAAGTCTGATCACAGCAAAATAAATATTTATTTATTTTATCTATGCTGTGGTCTGATCTACTATCAAGTTTAGGGATAGAGCACAATATATTTTAATCGTACAGTGAGCTAGAGCTAAAATTTTCACTCGGTCCCGGTAAAATAACCGGCACGCGGTTTTTGACATAAATAATCGGTTATCAGGTTAAACCGAAGTCGGGAAATAACCGGTTTTTGACCGGTTAACCGACACACAATAATCGGTTATTCATTTAACCGGTTATTTTTGCCCATCCCTAGAGCACGGCGCATACACATAATTTTCTTATCCAGTTGGCGATCTCGTTGTTCGTGCTGTATAACTAATTAGTTTCATTAAAACATACATGAAATTTGAAAACAAGTATGAATATTATAAATATCGGAATAAAGAAAAAAATCAGAGACAACGTTCTCATTTTATAGATATATTAAATGTATAAATTAGTATTTAGAACAATTGAAATTTGGAACTTTTTATAGAATATGTATATGTGTATTTAATTTGCCAGTGTTGCGAGAAACAACTACTCCGAGGGCTATATGCCCCTACCCCTACCGGCATTGAATTAAACCCGCAACACCTAGTGCAACAGCTAGGATCGTTCGCCAGTTTAACCCACCAGACACAAACCGGTTTCGGACTTATTAGTCATCATCAGTGTGCCATAGATGAGACAACCGACGAACGATCCAGCTGTTTTGCATCGTATCATAACGACAAGGAAATACATTGTACGCGGGAACGCAAATGGCTCCATCTGTCGTGCTAACTCCCTACTGTGCCATTCAAATGGCTACAGTAGGAAGCGTACAATATGTTTGTATTTGTTTATTCGTTTAGCAGCCTACTATGAAGGTACCACTGATTATGCGCTTAAAATATGAGCAACTTGCAATGAGTTCTAGATGAAGGAGAACTATCGGAAATTTCAAAGAAACTTCCGTTTTTCCCAAACTATGTTCAGGAACATTTTTTTAGTTTAGTTATAAAATTACTGAGATACTAAAGCCTATATTATGAGACTTGCATTGAACTTCAGAGAATAAAATCGAAGTAAAACTACTAGAAATTTCAGAGAAAATTCGGTATGTCCCAAACTACACCACGAAGTACTTTTTCGCTTCGGATGCTACCTCATGAGTCATCAAAGGATATCCGTTTAAAATTTGAATGACTTGCAACGTGTTCCAGGGGTGAAATTGAAGGAAAACAAAGAAAATTCCGTATACCCCAAACTACAATCCGAAGCACTTTTTCGTTTCGCATGCCAATTTCTGAGATGTTAAAGAATATCCACATAAAATTTGAACGACTTGCAATGGGTTCCAGAATGTGAAATTGAAGAGAAACTATTGGAAATTTCAAAGAAATTTCGATATCTCCCAAATTACAATCCGGAGCACTTTTTCGCTTGGTATGCTGACTGCTGAGACGTTCGAAAACATGTCATTAAAATTTGAATGATTAGCAATGGCTTCCAAGGGGTGAAATCGAAGGAAAATTATTGGAAATTTCATAGAAAATTAGATATCTCCCAAGCTACAATCCGGAGCACTTCTTTGCTTGGTATGCCCACACCAGAAATGTTAGAGAATATCATCATAAAATTTGAATGGCTTGGCAATGGGTTCCAGGGAATGAAATTGAAGGAAATGTATTGGAAATTTCAAAGAAAATTCGGTGTCTCTCAAACTAAAATCCAGAGCACTATTTCGCTTAGTTTACTAACTGTTACGAGGTCAGAGAACAACCCATTAAAATTCGAATGACTTGCAATGGGTTCCAGGGTGTGAAATTGAAGAAAAACTATTGAAAATTTCAAAGAAATTTCGATATTTCCCAAATTACAATCCGGAGCACTTTTTCGCTTAGTATGCCAATTTCTGAAACTTTAGACACTACCATTGTCCATTGTCCATTGTCCAGTATCCATTGTCCTTGTCCATTGTCCTTGTCCATGTCCATTGTCCTTGTCCATTGTCCTAGTCCATTATCCTTGTCCATTGTTCTAATCTAGTTCAGTAGTTTTCCTTCGATTCATGTCGCTCATAATATAGGCTTTAGCACTTTAATAATTTTATCACTAAACTAAAAAATGTTCCTGAACGTAGTTTGGGAAAAGTTTCTTTGAAATTTTCGATAATTCTTCTTCATCTAGAATTCTTTGCAAGTTGCTCATAATCTAAGCGGATAATCCACTGATTATCTACTGATTACCTTCATTGTATGTTGCTAAACGAATAAATATTCCAAATTTCAATTGTTCTAAATACTAATTTATAAGTATACCTATAAAATGAGAATGTTACTGTACTTTTGTAATATTTTTCTTTATTCCGGTATTTTATACCATTCATACTGTTTTGAATTCAATTTCAAATTTCGTGTATGTTTTAATAAAACTAATTAGTTATATATAGCACGAACAACGAGATCGCCAAATGGATAAAGAAATTATGCGCATGCGCCGTTAATCTGTTTTGGAATACAATATAGTATAAAGAAACAGAAATTGAAGATAAAACAATGACGCATATGATGACCCATTTTATTTGTAATATTATACAAGGTGATATATTTGTTTTGCAAATAATAATCGATGATACCCACACCTTTGTCACTGGTAAGTTTCTAAAGCTAATAATTTTTTTGTTTCATAGCTACTATCATACTAAATACGCACACCGAATTTGGTTAAATTATCTCAAGCGGTTTAGAAATTAAAAACTGTTTTTTTTTTAATTTTTGTCATGCTGTAGCTGGACAATGGCTGTCCTAAGACCCCACATTTATATAACAAAAAAAACTTATTTTTAGAATACTCCCCTGATTTTTGACCTTTTACCTTAAAAACACTTCTTTTTCAACTTTTTAACTATTGTATTCAAAAAATAAATACGGTACCATAACATGCCACAGAGAGATATTACAAATCTATCATACTATTACGCTTAAATTAGAATAAAAGTAATTGACCTGCAATGTGGTAATAGAAACAAAAGACTAATTTAAATATGATCAACAGGTTTAGCCATCTAACTAAGTATGTATTTACTAATATAAAATATAAAAAATTAACAAAAGTTTACCTGAAATCTTGTTTTTCGATGTTTTGGCAGAGGAGAATCATTTAAACTAACTCTGCTTCCCCGGTCAATTATATCAAATTCCTTAAATACTTCATCCATCGGTGATGTTGCTAAACTTCTCAATGCAGTATCTCCGGATGCTGATTTTTTCACAATGTTAGTCCTTTCTGAGGCAGAAGTTGTTACAGGACTGTTGTCCCCGCTCTTATGTAGTGGATTTACATAAAGATTACTATCTGTCACGCAAGTGGTGTCAACTACGTCTGATGTTAAATCCCCTAAGGAATTAAAAGGATGTGTGGTGCAACTAGCGAAAGTATCCGAACTATCCACGCTGGTCAAGTCACCGTTATTGGTATTATTTTTCTTCTCGATGTCTATCTCTGGAAAACCAAACGTGTTGATAGTTTGTTCTGATGCCTTCATTAGTTTCATTTCCAGACAAACAGGATTACGAAAATCGCTTGTAGCCAGCGGCATTAAATTTTCCGCGTCAACGAATTCCTTAAACTCCTGTAACATTAGATCAATATATCTTAAGTTTCATAATATGACTAGCTTATTTATATACAAACACACTAAACTTTTGTTCTTATAATTTTGTTACTACAATTGCTTTTAATGCTACAACAATTTTAATGTGTTTGTATAACGATACTGAAATGATATGATTAATCATATACAGGGTGTTTCATAACTCTACCGACACAGAGTGGGCACGTGTAGAGGATCTTAATATATGCCGATTTCTTATGTAACTTTTTTTTCTGGAATATACCGTTGAAGGGATATTGGTCTCTGAAGATGAGTGTCAAATTTTAAAAAACAATAATATTTCAGCAATTCCTTAACTAGAGCAACCAAATTTGGTACATGATTTGTGTTTATTGTTATTTTTAATTGGTAAAATATGAATTTGTTGAAAGACCAATAAGGGCTGGACGAGGGGTAGAGCGCTCTTAAATTGATATCGATTTTTTTACCAGTATGCCAATTATTAGTCAGTTTTACCAGTATTTTAAATATTTTTTCACTCTTACAAATTTTTCTGAGAAATAACGGATTCTCAGAAAATCGAGATTTTGTGAGGTCATTACTAATTGAATCGGACAAAAAGTAAAGTATGCAGTATTACGACTAGTAGGCTATGATTTCATGTGTCAATTTAACTTTTACAAAGACTGCAACTATTCCATCGTCTACGTACTATTCCATCGTCTTGGAAAATGCCTGCAAAATTTTCATTTCGTGAAAAAGTTGACATGTTGTTAGTATTATGGTTTTATTTACGGGTAATTGTCGACGAAGTGTACATATGTACCGAATAAGATTTCCCAATCGTTTGATTCCACTCCGGGAGACCTTTGCTAATGTTGCAAAGAGGACTCGAGAGGCTGGATCATTTCTAGTCAGCAATGAAGAAGTTAATCATACAGTAAACGCACGAAACGAGCTACGACTTAAATCCAAAACTTCACCAATGTTCTCCCTTTTCTCCCCCTTAGTAGGTATTAGATTTCATAAGAAGATTCTTTTTACGGACGAGGCTTGTTTCACTCGAAGAAGAATCATAAAGCATAATGTCCATAAATATTCGGATAAAAATCCACATGAAATAATTTCTTGCCATTTTCAAAATGAATTGAAAATAAACGTGTGGATTGATATTGTCGGACGTTATTTAGTTGGGCCAGTTATTCTACCAAAGCGGCTGAATGGCGAAAATTATTTATTTTTTTTTTACAAAATACTGTCCCTTAGACCAGGAAATATAGGGGTATGCATGCATGATTTTTTGTGAGCAGATAGTAAAAATAGTGTAGAATAATATGTACCGTATCCGCACACTGAAAAAGGCGGACGACATTGTTTAAAACATGCCGTTTTAGTAGAAATTCGCGTTTTTCGACTGTAACTTTTTTTCTGACGGTGCTACAGAGAAATGGTAAAACACTTTTTTGTTCGTCTTTAAAAGATCTACAAAACGACAATAAAACGATAAAAATTTTGTATATATTGTATATGTCCTTAATAAAACAATCAGATTTATTTTGCACGCAATTTTGCATTAAACGCAATAAATATCAGTTTTTATATGTCTCACAAATAGCCTATCCTGCAGCAGTTATTTTCCCAATTTTTTTATGAATAATGTTGCAATAAATTACTAACTTAATACTTAATGCGCATTGGAACGTGATACATTCATTTTTTGTGGTTGTTGGCTGCATAAATCAATTCCTCTTGTCGCGTAGTATCAAATTAAAAAATATATATTATTTTATCTTTTATAGATCCCGAGAAAAATAAGACTAAAGTTGCGCTATCGATTTTAAACACGCGACAACTTTTTTCGAGAGTGAAAAACGCGATTGATCAGCTTCCCCCACCACACCGGCGCGCGGCACTTAACGGAAAATCAGACGCTCGGCTGAGTTTCGAAAATTGTTTTATGTGACTTCTTTCTTGCCCGTACAATTAATATTTACTGTACTAAAAGCACTCCGACTGCTGATTATGTGCATATTTTTTTTCATTCCGTACTTTATTTACCTACTCAACCGTCAACTTTGAAAGCCCATAACTCCGCTTTTTATTAACGAATCGTGACGAATCCTTTTTCAAATTGAAGTTTTTTATGCTCTTTTGGTACATGCAATAAAATACTAAAAAAATATATAAATTAAGGGCGTATTTAATTTTGCAACTAAGGACATTTTTTAAATAATTTCCCTTCGTTATAAAAATGCATTTTTTTGGGAAAAAACAATGGAACTCGATACATTTTTGTTAAATCTCATCTCAAATCGCCATGACTTGCGAAATAATCCACTTACGGATTCCGGCTTTCGCATAAATTATTTGTCTGAAGTGAGGAATGATTAAGTGTTATCCGAAGAAGCCTTTGTGATAACATCGCGATTTATTATTGTTTATTTAAAATGGCATAATTGGCGGTTTTTTGCACGTAATTTTTGACCGGATTGATATTTCACGATCGAGACATCATTTTGTAGATCTTTTAAAGATGAACAAAAAAGTATTTTACCATTTCTCTGTAGAACCGCCACAAAAAAAGTTAGTCGAAAAACGCAAATTTCTACTAAAACGACATGTTTTAAACAATGTAGCCCGCCTTTTTTAGCGTGCGGATACGGTACATATTATTCTACACTATTTTTACTGTCTGCTCACAAAAAATCAGCCCATAAAAAATGATCCACAGTTATTTCTCAGAGTATACTTTAATTTTCGGCGGAGGGTAAATTTATGTATTAGAGAAAATGGTGGCCATTTTCAACAGTTATTGTAGTGCTATTTAACGATATCGGTAGTTCATATCGGTAGTGTTTAAAGTTGAATTTGTTAATGTTTTGTTTATAAGGTTCCTCTTTTTAAAATGTTAAAAACAAGATAAAGGATCTAGTTTAATAAAATTGCTTTATCTTGATAGTTTTTTGTAAACGTCAAAAATGACACATGAAATCATAGCCTATTAGTCGTAAAACTGCATACTTTACTTTTTGTTCGATACAATTAGTAATGACGCTGTTATTGTTTCGAAAATTTGTGAGTAAAAAAATTACTATTTAATAATTGGCATACTGATAAAAAAATCTATATCATTTTAAGGGCGCCCTACCCCTAGTCCGGCCCTTATTGAGCTTCCAACAAATTTATATTTTGACCAATTAAAGATAACAATAAACGCCAATCATGTACCAAATTTAGTTGCTCTATGTTAAAGCACAGAAAAAAAAGTTACATAACAAATCGGCATGTTTTAAGATCCTCTACGTGAGCCTGCTCTTTGTCAGTAGAGTTATGAAACACCCTGTATATCATACCTAGTCGATGAAATAACATACCTACTACTATTTCTAAAGCGTGTTAGAACATTCATTCTAATATGTAATAATTATATTCGTGCATGGTGGTGTGTCAAAGCTAGTAATTTAATGTAGTAATTAAATATTCTAACGAACTCACAAACGTGCGTGCAAAAGGTGACTCCTAAAATTTAGCGTGCACATTTAACCGAAAATGGTTACAAACCTTTCTTAAACTAAGATTGTGTGTCAATGAATATTGGAGTTACTTCACGGAAAATGAACTGTTGTGTTTATTGATTTTTTTTCTCTTAAATGAAATAATTAAATTCAAAACCAAATAATTAAATAATATAAACCTTTTGAAACCGATTTTTTTCAATCAAAACTATAAGATCAAATAACTCTAAAAATATTATTTACATTATACTTATATATATGTGCAGCCAGTTCTGTTTAAAGAGCAACTTTTTTATTAACCGATTTTAACAAACATAGGTGCATATATTTTGACAAGATTTTTAGGAACATATTTTAGATTCAATCAAATTAGCTTAATACTTTTATATAAATTAAAAGTGCAGGAACTAATGATATATTATGATTTTTAAAACTGCATTTTGATTTCCCGTTGAATGCCCTATTTTAAAAAACGACTAGGCGTAGACAATTTAACGTGAAAGAGGTTTTCTTAAAAATACAGAATCGATCTGTTACAGGAAACGTAACGAAACTTCATCCTTTCGAAAATAATGAACTTATTATTTATTAGGATACTTTTCTGCCATACGGTTGTATCCAATCAGCCTTTTATTGCGCGCAAATAACAATGCACGATGGCTTCGTAATTTAATTTTGAAAATTAAAATTAATTTTGTAATTTTCTAATTACTCAAACGATATGTTTCCTTATTTGCTTTTATTAATATTTTCGAACAGTTCAATTTCGAGTATTCAACTGAAATAATTTATATGTATAAATCCTATCAAAATCTTGTCAATATATAATTTAAGAATATCAAAGAAGCAGCGCCTGAATATGGTGCTTGAAAGTGAAATTAAACTTTCCTACAACTAAAATACGTGAAATATTTAGAAAGAAAGAAAATTAGAAATTATTATTATTATTATTTTAATTCTGTGACATGTCGTAGGTATACCTATTTTATATTAAATCCAATGAAATGAACATTAAATTTACCTATTTTGTTCCAAATTACCGGAACATTTTAACGAATTAAATGATGTGATTTATGACGATTTCCATTTGTCTGATTTTAATAGCACTGTTTTTTCAAGAAACATTTTCAGGACATTTTATTTATAATTAATGAAAAGTTTTATTTAAAAACCCTAATAAGATTTTAAATATATACATATACATTTTTTACATTCCGAACAAACATTAAACAACTACAATTTGTTTCAAGTGACGTATGAGAAAATTAAACATTTTCTTTTAATATTAAATAACAATAAAAGTTTAAATTTAGCTTATTTACTTTACTAATTTTTATTTAAATTTATTTTTAACTTTTGTCCATGATTATTCTAAATTACGACAATATGTGACAATATATTTTAACATAAAATATTTTCAGGATGAAGAACAATCACATTTTTAATTTTGGTGAAGCATAATGTTTTATTTTTCAAATAATTAAATGCAGTATATACATGGCG